GATTCTCTTTAGTTTCCCATCTGTGTAGAACAGACCGGCCTGGGTGTGATGCCGGGCCTTTTACCTGGGTCCTCTTCCTGCCACCTGGCTTCCCTGGGGAGCCTCTCCGCAGTTGTTTTGTTTTGTCAGTTCAAGTTGTAGGCCACTGAAGCTGCGCCTAAACTAGCAGTGAGCTTCTTCCACGTTTGCTGTTCTGATTCCGAATGGCCTCTATCGATCTTCACATCTCTTCAGGTATCTGACCGTTTCTTCCAGTGCCCCGCACTGAATTTGCTCTTATCTTCTCCAAATTTGAACTTGCATGTGCACATGGTTAGACTCTGGAGTAGGAGTCTAAGCTACTCTAACACAGTGTACTCTGTGTTCCTGTTAGAAAATTTTCAAAACTTTAAAAATTAAGAAAAATATTTGTTATACAATCTTATATTGGTTATATTAGTTTCAGGTATATGATACAGCGATTTGACACCTCTGTGCCTTACCATGTGATCCCCCCACTTATTCTGCCAATCATCTGCCGCCGTGCAAGACCATCACTTTAGTATTGACTCTGTTCCCCTGCACCTTTCCTACCCATCCTTCCGGCCCCTCCATTCTGATAACCATCCCTTTTGGTCTCTGTTGCTATGAGTGTGTTTTTGTTTTGGAAAATTGGTCTTGAAAGAGGACCAGGAAGCTCTGTGAATGAAGTCACAGACAAGTTCTGAGAAGGAGGACTGTCCCCCATGCAGGCAACAGTCCTGGGATCTTTAAACATTGCTGGTGAGACAAGGGGACTTAGACCCACTGGGGGAGCAGGGTGGAGTGACAGTGCCCGGAAAGGTGAGCCTGTCTCCTTGACCTGGCCAAAACTAAACTTTTCTGCTGAGAGAGAGGGTCGCAATGGACCCATTGTCAGAGTTACAAGTTGTATACATATTTTTTAATTTTGAAAATTATGTTCAGTCACTTTCTCTGACTGAACCTGAGCTACTACCTCAGCGATAGAAATAATGGGCATTTTAGAAGGCTGAACTCTCTCACCAAAGTACTCTCCAGAAAGGTGGTAACAATTTATTTTCTCATTGTGAGTACCATACTTTGATGCCTATATATAAGTCATTTGAGGCTATTTTAACTAGAGTTATTTGAGGAAAAAGTAACATTGGTGTGAATTTTAAGGAAATCTAGGGAATAATAAGAGGAAAATTGTTGTTTTTCTTCTATGTCACATTTCAGACATGTTTTCATAAAACTGGGGTGAGGACTTCACTTGCAAACAACATTTGCAACTTCAAATGCAGACATATGTTCTGAATATAACAGATCAACGCCATGCGCATGGGTTACGGAAGGCTGGGTTGTGGAAGTTGAAGGAACATTTGAAATATGTGTTTGAATTCCAGATAATTCATATCACAGACATGTTCATACTTCAGTGACAGAAATAAGAAAACATATAGCCCCATGTTTGGAGTATGGTCAGTTTGGCAGGAGACTAAGCCATATCAAAATCTGGTTTTATATCTAAGAGATATATTCAAACTCATTGGCACCCCCCTAAAAAGTCCTTGTTGAGGAGAAAGGACCAGGGCAATGCGCAGAGAGAAAACAGGACGGGGAGAAACTTACCAGTCTTGTTTAAGGAAGAATCCTGTGCATGGCTCCTGAGGCAGGAGACAGGCAAGGGGGGTTCAGAAGGCTCACCTCTGAACTGTGAGTAGGTTGTGAGTAGATCTGTGTTTCTGCTGACCCTGTCTTTAACTTTGACCTTTGTTCATCATGGACTTTCTTGCATTAATATTGACTTCTAGGATGTTTCATTTAAAATATCACTTACGTTGACTGCTGAATTTTTGGCACCCCTTAAGTTTTGCACGTGAGGTGAGGGAAATACCCGCTGACTCCTGGTCCAGTGGGCGGGCCGACTGCTCTCTTCTCCTCGGCTCTGCCCAGCGGTGCAGCGCAGCCATTCAGCCACCCCCACTCCCCCAACAAAAATGAGCATTTCTACTGTGTTCTCCAGCCAGACTTTCCCCTGTGGACTGTCTCTCACACATCCAATGACCTCCATCTTCCTTACCTCACCACCCAAAATAAGTCTCAAATATGTTCTGTGTGCAGGTATTCTAGCTGCTTGTAGTCAAGAGTTAATATGTATGTCACATGAATGTTGAAGGCTAATCATGTTATTATTATTATTAGGGTTTATGTATGTGTTTAAAAAGAATTCGCCTGGAGATAAAAGTCTCTTCTTGTTCATTTACTACAGAAATATGTATTCCTTTTTTTCTTATTTTTTTTCAGACTCTTTAAATCTTTCAGCCACAGTTGGCATTCAGTGTTATTTTATATTATGTTCAGGTGTGCAGGAGAGTGGCTAGACATTCATATAATTTACGAGGTGACCCCCCATAAGTCCAGTACCCCCTAGCAGCATACAGTTATTACAACAGTGTGGGCTGTATTCCCTATGCTGTACTTTACACCCCCATGACTGTTGTGGAACTACCACTTTGTACGTCTCAACCCCTTCACCCTTTCCACCCAGTCTCCCAGCTGGCAACCTCTGTACCTGAGTATGTTTCTGTTTTGTTTGTTCTTTAGATCCCACACCTAAGTAGAATCATATGGTATTTGTCTTTCTCTGACTTATTTCACTTAGCATAATACCCTCTGGGTCCCTCCATGTGTCACAAATGGTCAGATTTCATTCCTTCTTTATGGCCGAATAGCATTCCATTGTATATGCGTACATCTTTATCCGTCTACCCCAGTGCTGGGGAGCGAGCTTTGGACAAGACAATGTACATCATGGGGGATGTGTGGCAGTGTGACCAGGAATGGTGACATCTCATGCACTTTGGCAAATAGTGAGGAAGGAATAATAGCAAAAATCCTGGGAACAGAATCAGGACCTGAAAAAGATCTCAAAAAGGTAGTTATCCGACTTGAATGAGATGCCACTGAATGAGGTAAGTGTTAAGTGTTGACTCTGCCTTTCAATGGTAGTAACCACAGAGTAGGGGCTGTAACTTAGTCGTAGTTCATGTGAGGAGACATTGGAGTTGGCCCGATAGAAAGTCATGTTGACAGTTTGAAATGTCTGTGGCGTCTCCCTGCCCCCACCCGAGATAAGTAATGTGGGGGTGAATGTTTCCAGGATGGTAGTCTTGGGCGTCCCAAGACTCAGATAACTGAAAAAAACTGTTTAGACTCATGGTTGTATTTTTTTTTTAATAGTAAAAGGATAGGGATTACTATCTGTAAAGGGAAGAGTACATACAGCAGAGTCCAGGAGAAAACAGGAGCAAGCTTTCTGTTGTCCACTCCCAGCACAGCTGTAGGGTGACGCTTAGTTCTCCCGGCAATGTGTGATGAAGTGTTGTAACCATGGAGGCTTCCCTGAGCCTCGATGTCCAGGACTGTAATTGGAGGTCAGTCACAGAGGCACAGAGTATCCACTTGACTGACCTTAGTTACTCCATTTCTAGCCTCCCCAGAGGTCAAGCCGATATTGCATGGGCCAACACCCCAGATACAGAAACACATTTCTCGAGCAGGCTATTCCACGAGCTTACAGCTTGTGCCCTAGGTACCCCCAGACCCAGTCCGTTTTTTTTTAGGGGTACTCAGGGTTTGAACACTCCAAGCCTGGCAATCAACCCTTTATTACATGTTGTTTAACTCAACAGCATGAAAATATCAAGGAATCAGAGCCATCTTTCCATCCCATCACCCTGAGCGTTTCTGTGATGTGTCCAGTCATGGTCATAAGTATCATGGCATGATGCAATTTCAAGCATCATACAGAGACAAAATAGCTATAACTTCTGGGGAAGTTGGTGTCTCCTTTTACTTAAAAACAAAAAACCCCAACTTTTCCTGAAGACCCAGAGAAAACTCCCCTTCAGCCTTCATTAACCAGGACTGAGTTATAGGACCATTTCAAGGATAGGGATAGGAATAAGTCACATTCATTTATTTCTTTGCCTGACATTGAATATACAGTAAACATGCCACAGATCTTTGATGAGAACATAAATGAACATAGTAGTACAAATAATAATTAGTGAAATTCTGGCAGTTGGTGAATTCCTCATGATTCACTTAATAACAACAGTTCAAGACAGGAGCCAAATGTTGAATGGGTAGTGATACAAATTAAACTTTACATACTTTTCCAAAAGTACGTATTTTGAAAATGAAATTGCTATATCATGGAAACTAATTGGTTTCCAGTGGTAATAATGTACCTCCTCCTCTTCCTTATAAAAACATTAACAAATACATTATGCTTAAAGTGCATTTTACTCCATTTTGACCTTATAGTGACCCTTTGAGAAATCAGAACAGATAATAGTAATTTCCCTATTACAGATAAAGAGAGTGAGGCTTGCAGGGTTTAAAAAACCTCATCAAAGTCACATAACTGATTGAAGTGGTGGCTCTGGAAATATAACCAACCTGACTCCAATATACTTCACAGTACTGATCTCTCTTCCCCCAAACCAGCAGGACATATTTCCTGGAATCTTGCAAGGCTCATCTCTACTCTTAATAGACAAGTATTTAAAGAATCTTTCAGAAATTCCCTCCACTTAAGTGTAAGATCAACTCACACTTATTCTGTAAGGCCTACAGCATCACTCGGAACTCCAAGCACTGGTTCCTAGCGTTGCGATGTGCTTATCAATTTGCTCCCAGGCCTGTTCATACCGGTTTTATTTACTATTGTAGGTATTTAACTTGCTTCACATGATAAAGGATAAGTATGAAAAAGAGAAAATTAAGCTTTAAAGTAATGGAAACTAAGCTTTAAAAAATTAAGAGACTGGTAAGTATGAGTTGCCCCAGAACAGTACTGTTTATTCAGATGCAGCTGAAAGAGTAGTTAGACCTGGGGAAGGAGGAAAAGGACACATAAAGGACAAGGCAGGGTGTGTAGTCAAGCTGCTTTCTAAATGCACGTTCTAGCTCCACATTAAATAAAGCAAAAACGGAAGAAATCATAAATGATATAGTATGGATGTGGTTTATGCAAAAACAAATAAAAAACACCTATAAATTCAATTACAGAGCTTGGTACTATGTCAAAAAACTGGCAGAAGTTTCTATAATTTTTATTTATGATTTAAGATAGTTTTCAGTAATTTTTGTAACGATCTTTAAAACAAATAGCCATTACTAATTCCAGTAATTGGGGGTAAAGCTACTTCTATTTGAGAGATGTTTGCACTTCAATTCTAGAGACATTTGCATTTTGATCGGAATTTCCAGAGACTGAAGAAGCACGGAACTTCTCACAGAATTTCAATCCTAGGAAAAAGCAATGAGAAAACTTCAGGATTTGGTATTTTAGTTTCACAGGGAAGCTCTTAAAGAGAAGTGGTCATCCCTTACAGGCGGCCAGCGCTGGCTGACGGAGTCGCGGGAAATTCCTGTTTTCTTATTCAGAGAGCAGAGTTATGATCAGCACAGAGGGTCCTGGCAACCAGAGGTTGGGAGTAGATTTTTTTCCCGTGTTTTTCTTCTGGATTAAATCTTTTTAACCAAAAATAACACCATCCAGTAAGGCACCAAAATGTCAATCATTAAAATATACACAAATATAATATTCATAAATATATAACTTTCAAGAATTGCTGCACAGGTATTGATCAACAGTTGCTCACAGATTAGTAGACATTAACTCATGTTGAAATAAAAATGGACTTTAACAGCAAAATTTAAACACAATTCTTTCATTACTTCCTTTCTTCAGTTAAATCCAAGTTTACCCCTCTTTTTATACATCTTATCATTTAAACAAATTATGCATCGATTAGTAGAGCTACGTGCAATTATTTTCCAAATTCGCAGTGATCATGAGCGATGCCTTCATTTTAAAAAATAAGCACATATCATCAAAACTCACGCTAGAACAGTACTTTTTCTTTCTTAAAGATTTTATTTCTAGAGACAGGGTAAGGGAGGGAGGCAAGGGTGAGAAACACCAAGTGTGGTTGCCTCTTGCGCGCCCCCAACTGGGGACCTGGCTCCCAACCCAGGCATGTGCCCTGACTGGGAAGCACCAGCTGCAACCCGTAAGAAGGACAGCACTCAATCCACTGAGCCACACCAACCAGGGTTTGGACAGTTGGACAGTACTTTCAATCCCAAGAACTAAAACGTTGAAGAAATGACGTGCCTCACACAAGAAGCCACACACCAATAAAACCAGGAAAGCTGGCCAAGCGCTAAAAGTTTCTGCGCAGAATGTCCCCCAAATGACTTTTGGCAAGAAGCCAACAGGGTCCGAGAAACAACCGAGGCAGCAGATTCTTGTTTAAAAGTTTCATTCCCACGAACCAACCTGCAGAAAACCTAGAGGCGCACGACGCTCCAACCCAAAAGCAACTCAGTTGCAGAAGCGATGCGATTGGCTAAAACAGGGATGACGCAGGTTTCTCAAGTCCACTGAGAGCCAGCCTTCCGACGACCCGCTGATATTCCGCTTTCCGATTGGTCTTTCCGCCGGAAGAATTGAAGAAAACTACCTCCGGCCCGCGACCGGGGGTAAAGATGGCGGCGTCCAAGTGGTGGCGGCTCCTGTCCCGCGGTCCAGGACGGTCACTGCATAGCGCGGGCGCAGCCGCACCCGCGGCCGCTGTCGGGGCTCCAGATGTTACTGTTGCAGACGTCGCGGTGGCCCCTGTCGCGCGCTACCCGCCGATTGTGGCCTCCCTGACTGCCAAAAGCAAGGCGGCACGACAGCGGAGAGTGGAGCGGTGGCAGGCAAAGGTGCACGCGGCTCAGTCCGCGGACGAGAAGATACGAATCCTCACCAAGATGCAGTTCATGAAGTACGTGGTTTACCCTCAGACCTTCGCGCTGAACGCCGACCGCTGGTACCAGGGCTTCACCAAGACCGTGTTCCTGTCGGGCCTGCCGCCGGCGCCCGCTATGCCCGCGCGGGTCCCGGACCTGGCGACTCTGCGCGCCGCCGCGTGCGACTGCCTCCTGCAGGAGTACTTCTACCTGCGGCGCAAGGGGCGCGCGCCTCTCTGCGGGGAGCGGGAGGCCCTCGCCTCGCCCTTCCTGGACCAGCTGGTTACCACCCTCGTGGGCTTGCTCAGCACGCACAACCCGGTTCTGGCCGCCGCCGCCCTCGGTGAGCTCCGGGCTTGCCGCGGGGGGCGGGGCACGTGTGAGTGGCAGGGACCTTCTGCATCTGTGGTGTGTCCCCTCTTCATTTTGTTGTCAGTTTTTTTCCTAGTGTTTGGACTTATCGGAGGGAGTGTGGAGACTGGGTCCTGCCACCTAACTGTCCAGCCCTAGGCTAGGAGCTTCGGGTCTGCAGGATTCCAGCCCTTGATGCTGGTGATAGTCCTGCGGAATGGAGAGCAGCGTTGGTTCAGACTTGGGTCTCCTAGAGAGAGGGAGAGACCTGGGCTGCCTTTTGGCTCTTCCACCAGAATTTACGTGGCCATATGTCAATGTGTGAACCTCTTTCAGACTAACCTTTTTCATTTTCAGGATGAGAGTTACGGGAAGAGTACTTTGAGTTATGAACATTAAAGGTGACATTGATTAAAATACCTAATGTTTATTCAGTGCCTACTGTGTGCTTGGCCCCGTTCTAAATTTTATACGTGCCAACTAATTAATCCTCACAAAAACTTTATAGTAGATGGCATTGTTTTGCAAAAGAAACGAGACAAAACTTGAGGTACAGAAACGTAAGATGTACTTACTCAAAAGAGCCTATAGCCAGTGGCTCTGGCTGTCAGGATTCCAGCCCAGCCATTCAGGATTACCAGTAAACAGCAATGTCTGTTTAGTGCAGACATGAAGAAGAACTAACAGACGGGACAGCTTTAATAATTAGTGTTTCTGACTGTTCATCACTTAATGTCTGCCACCCAGTAGGCACAAGTGTCTATTGAACATTGTTACCACGGGAGATGTGTGCTCCTCTGAGTCCTCTGAGTCCTGTGGTGTGCCTGTACTTCCCTGTCATTGGAACGTGGTCTGGAGGGAAGCGTCTTGGGCTTTGACTTCTGATTGATGGCCTAGGAAACTTAACCTTCTCACAACTCAAGTTTCTCTGTAAAATGGAGACGATGACAACCATACACCCCTTTCACAGTTACTGTGAAGATTTAGTCAGCCATTCATAGGGCCATTCTGACTCCTACTGAACTTCTTAGTTCTGTGATATTCCTGTTGTGATTGAGAAGAGGCTTTGGTTACAGCGTATAGTGCAGTGGTGCCACAAGTGGACAATAAATATTTAAGTCCTGGTCACGTAAGTTAAATTGTCACATAACCCAACATAACCCACACTATCTTACATCAGAGAGTACTGTTGACATTTTTAATTAGCACAATCATTTTGAGTTCTATATAGCTGAGTTTGGTGTTCCAATAACCAAGTTGATCTAAGCAATAACGTTTTGAATATCTTATGATAGATTGTAAACGTCCAGTTCACTTCTACTGGTGGCGTGGTGAAGAAATTATTCGTCATGGTCATCGGAAAGGCCGAGTCGATGCCTTGAGATACCAAATAAATGACACCCCACACAACCAGATTCGAATGTCCAGGCAGCTCCCAGAGGTAAGGATTTATCACGTGTGTGCCTTTGCTGTCTGATGGGGAACTGTCATGAGCAGGCTGGGTAAAGGATTCAGCAAAAGAAAAACTTGAATGGAGTCCTTGCCTTTTGAGTTTCATTCAAGTACATCTTGTCTGAAATTCTTCTTCAGCTTTTTAACCTGCATGATATAAGAGTTCCCCAAAGGTCAAATAATCATTTTCAGTGAGGTCAAGGCATCAGTTTTCAGGAGCATACAAATTTTTGTTAATATTAAAAATAGAAAAAGCCGATAATAGTTTATCACTGTATTGTAATTTGTAGTACCTATACCACCTAATCACAAATTAAGACATTTATTACACTTATAGGCTGGTTCTTTTATGTATTTACAGTTCCTTTGGTGAAAACAAGTATATTTTAGGTTGTGTGTCCATGTCAGATTGGCTCTTTTTTTTTTTCTGTAAAAATTTAGATAGCAGGTATCTTAGGCTTTGAGGGCTGTAAGTCTCAGTTGTGACTATTCATGTCAGCTTTTATAGCTTTGCACCCTGTGTAAATGAATGTGCATGGTGGTATCTGATGAAACTTTATTTGTGAAAACTGGTTGCTGGCTGGATTGCGCCCATCATTATGTGGTAGTGTTATCATTTTACAAAGACATCTCAATTTAAGATTTTTAAATCTATTAAGAATGTGAGTAAAATAATATACTAGTGCTGCTGTTCATTCACTTACTACTTTTTCTTTAAGTTTGTGCCGCTGGATTATTCTGTACCTATAGAAATCCCTGTCATGAATTGTAAGCCAGACAAACTCCCGTTGTTCAAACGACAATATGAAAATACCATATTTATTGGTAAGTTTCTCTCTTGATGTATTGTGCCGTACACGTGTCTCAGGTGCCTTGCGGGCATTTGCGTAATTAGTTCCTCTTGACCAAAGGTTTACAAGCTCATGAGCAATATAAGTCATAGTCTGAGATGGTGGCAACGTGCCTGAAAATTGGAAAGAAAATATTCTTTCAGCTTACCATTTAAAATTTTGGCTCTACTTGGTTCTACTGAACTAGCAGTATTTAACTTTAAAAAATAATTATACTTGTTAAACTTTGTTGATATATTCTGTAGAAAAAGTACAATAGTTTGAGGTTTGTTCAAAAATACAAAGCACAGAACTGGACTTGAGACACAGCGATTGGCTTTTTAGGAAAGTCTCCCATTTGCCTTGCACGGCGTGGTGCCGTCAGGGATGTAAACAGTAGGAGGCCCAGTGCCTGTCCTCATGCAGTGTGTTCTTCTGCTGGTTTTCCTTCGTCTGCAAATTCTCTCTGACTTGTGGGACATTCTTAAAAAGCAGCTCAAAGTAGTCCTCCAGCCCTGTTCTATCAGCCGCTTCTCAGTCACTGTGGCCTTGGAGAGTGAATGATGGGGGACTCTTGACTTTACCGGTGAAGTCAGGCATGTCAGCATTTTGTTAAATACTGGCCCTTACTTTCTTTACTCAGAAATGTAGTATAGCCCTGGGCGGTGGCTCAGCTGGGTGGGCATCATCCTGCAAACCAAAAAGGTCGTGAGTTCGCTTCCGGTCAGGGCACATGCCTGGGTTCAGGTTCAGTCCCCGGCCAGGGCATGGCCGCAAGGCAGCCTATTGATGATTCCTTTCCTCTTTTTCTCCCTGCCTTCCCTTCTCTCAGAAAATCAATAGACGTGTCCTCGGGTGAGGATAAAAAAAATAAAGAAATAAATATGGTAGAAAAGTCCATTAAATTTAATTGGGAAGAAATTATATAATTATTAAAATACTAAAGTAAGTTTTTAAAGTCATGAAATGTTTGTATCCTTTGGAGAATATGACAAGGAAAATAACCAAGGTCTTTATGATGACTGACGAGTTTGGAAAAAACTGAAATCATAAGGAATTTTAAATCCACTTTACATGTATTCTTTTGACTTATCCTGTGTCACAGTGAAGGGCATGATGACAGCTAACATTGTGCTTTAGTGTGAAATGTAACTTTATTCTAATCAATACAGTCAACAAATAAAGTAGCCTTCCCATTGGTGTATTGTGACAACTGGTATGCAGAGGACAGAGGGGGCTTTGGACTGGATACGGGGGACAGGTGCCCCGGGTGAGCTGCGTGTCATTTCACGTGAACTGTTTTTATTTTGCTCTTCAGGGTCAAAGACAGCAGATCCATGTTGTTACGGTCACACCCAGTTTCACCTGTTACCCGACAAATTGAATCGGGAAAGACTCTTGAAGCAGAACTGTGCCGATCAGATAGAAGTTGTGTTTAGAGCTAACGCTATTGCAAGCCTTTTTGCTTGGACCGGAGCTCAGGCTATGTATCAAGGTAAAGCTATGATGTTCTTATTCTTGGAAGATATGACATTTAAAAAATTTAGTATCATTTCCTTGGTTAAAATGTGGATTGGATCTTAATGTTTTGAAAACTTGCATTACCACAAAATGTAGCTGTTTTAAAATCCACGAATAAGTGTTTTACATCGGCAGTTGGCAAGTAGCACTTAGGTAGTCATTTGATCTTTTACGTTGACCACTTTTATGGGAATGTACTTTTTTCTGATGGTGTCCTCAAGCGTTTCAGAGGCTACAGCCAACTGAATCAGCTCTGAGACGACAGCCACTTTCTGAAGCTGGAAAAGCAAATGCTTCGGTGGGTTAAAGAGTAGATTAAGTCACAGCTCTTTGCAATTTCCTTGATGGCCATTCCTGGGATGTGTGCTAGCAGGTTATTTATTCATTCAGCAAACAGCGGGTGCTTGTTAGGTACCGAGCACTGTTGGCCTTGGAGATGAAGGCTGAATGAGATAAGCGGATCCCACTCTTCTGGAGCTTACAGTCTAGCGAGAAGAGTAGAGGATAATAAGCGGGTAATGTTTATAGGTAGTGGTGATACCAGGAAGAAAATTACTAGGAAAGGGGTCAAATGGTTTGTGGGATCCAGG